TAGCAGGGTGTGTACCTGTCCCGTTTCCCAGGTAACAAGTGGTAAGATGAAACATCCTCAAATTGCGCCAGGGGAAGTTTAGACTGGGTATTAGTAAAAAAATCTTCACTGAAAGGGTTATCAAGCATTGGAACAGGCTGCCCAGGGAAGTAGTTGGGTCACCAACCCTGAAGGTGTTTAAAAGACATGTAGATGCAGCACTTAGGAACATGGTTTAGTGGGATGTGGCAGTGTTAGGTTAACGGTTAGACTTGATCTTAAAGGTCTTTTCCAACCTAAAGGACTCTGTAATTTGATGACTCTATGATGTCCTCCAGCAAAACTGTAGTATTGTGAGACTGAAAGAGTTAACGAACGCTGTCATGCCAGAGGGTGTGTGGTTCCGTGCTCTGACAGGACCACAGCTCCGTGCCATGAGTTTGAGTAAGGGGCTCACAACCGCCTGAAAGACCCTTTGGGACCACCCCTGTACAACGTCATCTCTGCAGAAGATCAAGAGTTATATAAGTCCTCAAGGGGCGTGACTAGTACAATCAAGAGGCAGGAACTAGGCTATAAAAGGCACAACTCCAAGGAACTGTTTGCACACCCATCACCTGAGGATTACCACACAAGATTACCATGTTTGTCATCGTCATCACAGGAGATATCTCTCTCTCTCTCTCTCTTTTCCTTCCCCCTCTCTTTCCTTTTCTTCTCATGTGTGTCTCAATAGGACCCACGCTGCCTACCATTATGCTTTCCCAGTTCAGGTTGCTTCAAATAAATAAAATGTTTAATTGATCCTTTGGTGTTGTTTCACCTCAATTTAGCCCACGGGAATCACGAAAATACCTACAACCCCCTGAGTTATCCTGTCTGGGTCAAAACAAGTATGTACTACTTCCGAGAAATAAAGCCAAATTCATCTCTGTCAGGATGTCCATAAGGACACAAGAACTAATCACATGTGATCAGTTATCTGATACTCCTACTTGGAACAACTGAATGGTAACTGGAAGATAAATTTTTTAATATTACTCAATAGAGATGAAGTATACTGTATTCAGTCTGCAACGATTCCTGCAAAAACAGAAATCATGCTTCAAAAGAGGTATTTAAATGTTTTGACTCTAGGAAAAAGAACACTTATACCCAGTGTTACCCTGCTGTGCTAGCACCACCAATTCTCAGGTTCAAAGCTTTATGCCCAGTAAATTCACCACAGTGATTTTTTTCCTTGTCTGTCCTCCCATTCACTCTCTCACCCTCAAACTATCCAATACAAAACACCTGGATAGGAAAAGCTCCATTTCCAGTTACTGCAAACATGAAGGGAAGTTTTCCATAAGCAAGCCCAAGCACCTCTGCCTTATTTGCTATTCAGGTACAACTACACTAGTGACATCCAGAACACCCGTCACAGCATGAAAGCCAAAAAGACTTCGTACCCCTCCAAATAAAGCACACAACAGATAAAAAAGCCTTCTATTTAATGCATTCTACAATACCCTTCCTACCTGCTCCCTACCTGCCCCTTGTAATAGCCATTTATCCTCAGGAAATCCCAAAACAGGTCTGCAGACAGGGGAACTCTTTTCTCTATAGCTGGAGAAATCAGACATAAAGATGCCAGTGACCTAACCAAAATTCATACAGGAAGTCTGTCAGAAAGAAAAAGAAAGGAGAGATTGAACTCAGTTTCCCAGCTACTTGGTGATAATCCTTCTTCATTCTTCATCTGAAAGGCCCTAGGATCCTATGCCAAGGGGTATAAGCATCAGACAAGCTCAAAAAAAAACAGAGTTTCAAGTTTCAGCTAGACCACAGAGCATACAATAGCTTTGTTCACTGTGAAGAAACAGATGCTGCTACTATGGGCATCGCAAATATGCAAAACACCTACAAACAAATTGCCAAGAGCATTTCATGAATAAATACACAACTCCCACAAGAGAACGTACCCTTCCAATTAAGGAATTAAAGAAAAAGTTTTCCGGCTTTTCATACGTCCCTGCCAGATGCACCGGGCAGGGGC